CACGTCACTGGAGAATTTGAGGCCAAGGATGAACGAATGAAGAAGTATAGAGACACTGCCCTGGAGTTGCTTAAAGCATTCGGGGCGTACCGGATAGAGCAGGTCCCTCGGGAAGAGAACGCTGAGGCAGATATCTTGTCAAAGCTTGGTCCGGATTCCCCGGATCATATTAAGGCAATGACCCAGGAAGAAGAGTTGCTCAAGCCAAGCATCAGTCCCGGACAAGTGCTGATCATCACACTCAGAGAGGAGCCGGATTGGATTGATGAGATTACCATGTACATCCTTGACGGGTCGTTACCCATCGACCCAATCGCGACAAAGGTGGTGAGGCGACGTGCACCCAGCTACACGCTGGAGTGCGGTCGGCTGTATAAACGATCGTACAATGGTACATTGTTGAGGTGCTTAAGGGCGGGCGAGGCACAGAAGTTAATGGAGGAAATCCATGAGGGAATATGTTCGGCGCATCAGGGAGCCTTCACGATGTCCAGGAAGGTGACCCTACAAAGATACTTTTGGCCAACGATAATCAGAGATTGCGCAGAGTACGTGCGCAAATGCAAAGTTTGCCAGGAATTCCAGAGGATGCCAGGGCGACCGGCGACGAATTATACCCCGATAAGCACAGCGATTCCCTTTGCCCGGTGGATCATCGATCTGGTCGGTATTTTGCCTCGGGGGACAGGGAACAACACATACCTGGTGGTCGCGATTGACTACTTCACTAAGTGGGTCGAAGCCGCCCCCGTGCCAACCATCACTGCGGAACAGATGACAAAGTTTGTTTCCAAGCAAATCTTGTGCCGATTCGGGGTGCCCCAGCAGATCATCACTAACAACAGAACCCAATTCGAGGCCGGGGGGTTCAATGAGTTTCTATAGAGCTGGGGCATAAAACACAGCTATGCGGCGGTCGGGTACCCCCAAACCAATGGGCAGGTTGAGAACACCAACCGTACCATCATGGATGGCCTCAAGAAGAAGATAATGGAATGCAAAAGTGCCTGGGTGGAAGAAGTGCCCTATATGGATTTGAAGCAAGGGCTCCAGCGGAGACCTCGTTGTTAAGTTATAGAGTAGAGACGTTTGATGCTCAAGGAAATGAGGAGAACCTGAGGGCAGAGCTGCACCTCATTGATGAGCGAAGGGAAAGGGCATATATGCGGGCAAAAAACTACCGCCGGCAGGTCAAGTCATATCACGACCAGCGGGTGCGACCAAGACAGTTCAAGATGGGCGACTGGGTCCTTCGAAAAAGGGAGGTCAGCCGGCCGACCGATGGAGGAAAGTTTGCTAAAAGCTTCGAGGGGCCATATATCATAAAGGAGGTGTTGGTCGATGGGACATTTAGATTGCAGACTCCAACCGGTGGCGACGTTCCGCGAGTATGGAATGCCGCCAACCTTATTAAATTTTATCAATAGATTGTATTCCAGCCATGTCTTTTTTTTTTAAGATTTAATAAATCCAGCTCTCTGGCACATCTTGTCTCCAATTCTCAAAAAAAAAAAAAGAGGAGCGACCACAAGAGATCGATCGCTAAAATTGCACGGTGATTCGTGCTAAGATACCCAGTAGTGGGTGAAGCGTCGAACCCTGTCAGGCGACCAAGGTTGAAGACGACGCCGTGGCAAGAAAGTATGAGAGAACGGCTAAGTCTGGAACACAAGATCTGTTGATCGCATGAGCGACCAGGGGATCTTGGGGGTATGGCGACGCCACAAGGGTCAAAGTAACCCGAAAGTGGCTAAGTCAAAAGAGGCGAGGTATTCTCTGATTCAAGTCCGAGGGAACCGGAACGTCAAATGTAGGATGCGAAAGAGAAGAAGGTGAAACTTGTAAGTAAACAGGTAACATCAAAATACANTCAAGACCAGTACCTGACTGAGCCTCAAAAGGACCATGTTGTCAAGGTCGTCCTCGGAGCCTGCCGAGATACGAGCCTGGTCTTCTGCAGGCAGAGTGATAAGAGTCTCCAGCTGTACGTCCCCTAGGCTTTGGGGCAGGGGAGGGATGCAGAGCCTCGTCGAGCGACCCCCGGTCGCCACCTCGTAGGTCACTGCGGGTGGTGATGGAGGTCGCTCCAAGGCAATGCCCTGAGATGACCCAGCGAGGTCGCCACCCTGCATCACGGGGTGTGGAGGGGACTGGCCAGCCATGGTACCCGGTTCCTGGGTAGCATCTTCTTGGTCCTCCACCACAGTTACGACCGACTCTCGAGAAGGACCCTCCTCGTGGTGGGATGAAGAACGTTTGCCCTGGCCCCTCGTCTCTCTCTTCCTTTTCCTCCCTGCGGTGAAGGGACTGAGCAGGAGATCGCTGTCCATCTCTTCTCCTGAATCTTGTAATTCCACTAGAAACAAAGGAAATGGTCAGCCTTGGGAAAAGATAAACTAAACATCTGGGCAAAAGAAAGGGTCACCTACCAAAAGGACCACAATCAAGACCTTCCTCAGGAATGTCCTTCAACTGGTCAGGCTGATGCCCCCCGGGGATGTCCCTCAGTAGGTCGGGTTGGTGGCGAAGCTCATCCTGAACAAACTCAAACCCCAACCCGGCAAGGGTTTCCTCTGTCACCACCTCTTTGATGTTCATAACTCCCTTATTGCAGAATTGGCGAGTGATAGACAAAAGGGTGGCATCAGGTGGGGGGCGTGGGATGCGACAGAAGGAAGGGCGCCCTGAACCCGTGAAAGGAGATTCGGGCCCCGTCGAAACGAAGACAAAGAAAGGCTTCCAATCTTTGGTTGACCCCTTCTTATCACTAGCAAAGAGTTTACTGGACCTCTGGGAAAGACTGGCATAGGACGCCCAATCCTTATGGCCCTTGGTCAGTTTGAAGGTGAATATGAAATGGTCCAAGGTCGGATTCACCCCTA